TAAGAGTTTAGCCAGGCATGGCGGTGCACACCTGTAATCCTAGCAATTCAGGAGGCTGAGGTAGAAGCATAGCAAGGTAGAGGCCAGCCTTGGCTAATTGGTAAGACCCTGTCTCAAAAAAGAAAAGGTTGGGGATGTTGTTCTGTAGTAGCCCCTCGGTTCAATCCCCAGTACCTGAAAATTTGATGAATTTTTAATTCATGAAAACAACAATTGTAAAATATGAAAACAACAAAATCGTTAAATAGGAAGAAACACACTAAAAAAAATATGCAGCACTTCCATGGAGGATATTATAAAGTTCAATTAAAGAAAAAAATTTCCCCAATGTATAAATTCAGTGAAATGGAAAAAAAAAAAGTCTTGAAAAGACATACAGAAATGCAAAAGTTCACCAAAAGCTAAACGATTCTGAAAAAGACTGAAAAGGCTGTAGGAACTACCCACGAGGTATTCCAAATTCATAATGATTCTCTGGAAGTGTGTTTTTTTTTTTTTTTTTGAGAGAGAGAGAGAGAGAGAATTTTAATATTTATTTTTAGTTTTTGGAGAATTTTAGTATTTATTTTTAGTTTTATTTGTATGTGGTGCTGAGGATCGAACCCGGTCTGCACGCATGCCAGGCGAGCGCGCTACCGCTTGAGCTACATCCCCAGCCCCTGGAAGTGTGGTTTTTATGATGAGGACAGAAGAAAGAGAACAGAGCCCAGAAACAGCCCCGTAGCCCCGTTTCAACACAGGAACTATGTATCGAATAGTGGTGGAACCTACTTAAGATTAATTTCTCTATCTGTATAGAATAATCTTTGAAATTTTGTGTAGAAGGACAGATTGTTCAGCAATCTTATATAAAAGGATACATTATTCAGCAGTGTTTGGGAGACTGGCCAAACAGTTGGAAAAATAAACAAGCTTGTTCCTATCCAACCCAGACCTATGGAGCATAAGTCTATACTGCCCACATAAAAACAAGCCCCACACATGTTAATCAACTAGAATTCCATATAAAAATCCCTAATATTAAAAGTTAGGTCATGAGACACTTTGAAAATCGTACAAAGGACATTTTCAGTGTAAAATCTGAATGAAATCCATAGTCAAGATATTATATCAGTTTATCTAGAAACATGAAGATTGTGAGCCAGTTTTCGAGGAGGAATAAAAAGATGCAGTATATGAAATATGTTTCTGAGGGAAAATTACTGTAACCAAGTTAAATTTAAAGAAAGATTAAGAGTGGAACTAGAAGAAAAAAAAATAAGTAGATATGAAACACCAAAAATACTGTAGGAAATTTTCAAAATGTGCAATAATCTCAGGGTCAAGAAACGAATGACACAAATTCAGTGCTCACTCAACAGCTTCTCAGCGTCCACTACTGGGCATGCTTGAGCAAGGGTGATGGGTTGTGTTGCCAGTTTGCATTTGTGTTTTGTGCATGGGGACAGGGTGGAGTTAGGGCCTTGCCACACAGTGGTGGTTCATAGAACATCAGAATTAGCTTCACCTAGAAACGTTTGAAAAATGCAGAATCTCAGGGACTGCCCCAACCCTACCAACTCAGACTCTGCATTTCAACAAGATCCTCTTGTGCACCTGAAAGTTGGAGAAGCACTTAGAACTTAAAGAAAACTCTTGCTAAGTTTAAAGAGAGAGATGGTAGCTAAGCAGCAGTGGTAGTACTAGTGGTAGTACTAGTCCCCGAGTTCTACTTTAAATATCCTTGTCCCAGATTCTCCGTTAATCTAGAGGTACAATTTCATCCCTTATGAGTAAAGGTAATAGCATCGTTTTACCCTTACTTCATCTACAGTTTTAATTAACTGAAATATGGCCCAGATCTAGGAATAACCAAAAAAATCCCACTCCAGGCTGGAGCATGGAAGCTTGACATGGACCCTTCAGGGCTTCTAAGACGTGCCCAGTGGCAAGGCCTCAGATGCTCACAATGCCAATAAAGTCAGTGTTCTGGTTCCTTGCCCACAAAYGATTGGAAGCAGCAGATTTAAAGTAGGTCAAAGGGGAAAAAGTAAAATATGGGGTTGGGATGAGGGATACAATGAGAATTGRTGGTAGAAAGAAGAGCTTTGAAATTTTCATGGTTAGTTTTATAAATCTGTTCATACCCCAAAACCAGCAACTCAAATCTAAGTGGTCCTCACCCCTGGCTGCATGTGAAATCACTCAAAGGGTCATTAAAAAAATAAGAAGAATACACAAGCCTGTTTCAGAGATTCTGAACTACTTGGATCGGGCTGGTTCCAGGTTTAGGCATTTTATGCAAGCTTCCCAGGTGATTCTTAGTGGTATAGGGCCGTCAGAGCAGGAGCCAGAGGCCTGGGCACTGAAGGCCTTCTAAGCACGGTCTTCACAATTTGTTGCAATYACTGACAATAATCAGCTGGGTTGACTTTGGTTACTAGGATTTTCTTCTAAGAGGAAAAGCTGTACATTAGATGTGATTTTAACAGAAAACGAATAGCCTAGAGCTAAATGATACAGAAACACATAGCTTCATCTTGTGTCCTTGAGAGAGCAAGCCAGCATTAGAGGATGAGCCATCTCCTCCCCCTGCCCCGCCCTTGTATGCCCACAGATCACCTGGTAGTCTTGTTATGATGCAGATTCTAATTCAGGAGGCCTGGGGAGGCTGGGATTCTGCAGTCCTCATGAGCTCCAGGTGATGCTGTGGAAGCTCCAGGGCCCACACCTGGTATACCCAGGCTGTAGCTCATCCTGCTGACGGTGACTCATACTTAACCCCCTTCTTAGGAACCCAAACAAGAAGGATGGCTTTCTCACTCCAGAAGAGCCCTCAGTCCTGTATAGTCTTTCCTGAACTAACTTCACAAGCTTCCATATTTTATTGAATCCCTCCTCCCTGAGCCACYCTGTTGAAAGATCAGAGACTATTGAGACAGAAATGGACACACAGAACCTGGCCCATTCATTTCAAAAGTGGGGCACTGAGGCCGAGCTGGCAAAGGATCTTCCAAGCTGACAGGCGATAGTGGTCAAGTCAAAACTAGGCCTAAGGCAGGACTGAGAGCTTTAGCTAGGGAAAATAATTCATTTAAACATCTACTTCCATATTCTCAGGGAACCCTCAGACTAATAAGGAAAGAGTCAGAAGGGARCAGAAAGTTCAAAAGACTGACATTGGAGCTCTAAGACAGGCAGATACCATGCTGGGAGGCTCCCTGTCTACTAGGCCACACCAAAGCAGATGTTTCCTCTGGTAGAATTTCCATGAAGAAGGGCCAAGGCCCCCACAGCAGCTGCCCAAAAGGCCTCGATCATCCTTATTTCATTTCATTGTTTGGAAACCTTTCTCAAGTAAGTTTCTAAATCCCACATAAGAATGGTACATACTTTTGCTCCATATTAAGAAGCCCTTGTGCAAAATTAAAGAAATATTCTTTTTCAAAGTGGGGGAAAAAAAGGAGTCATTTCCCCAGAACATTCAGAAACTCACCCAACCAAGTGGATCTGATTCTTGGCCCATTATTCATTTCTTTATGGCCTCTTAGAAAAGCAGAGTGGGTATGAACAAAATGGACAAATTCAGTAGCATTCTGAGTCCTGGGGCCATGGCTATGGCTGGATCAGTGGCTAYACTGGTTCCTAGGGGACCCCCTTTCCATGCCACAAAAGGCCATCCCGGAGGCCTTTAAACTGGATTTAACATTTCTGACTTCAAAGCTTTGGACTTGGCTCAGACTTCCCTGACATAGCTTATTCCTGAGTTTTTCATCTCGTTGTGTGGCTCTGTGGGACTGGAGTCAAAAAGCCATCCACAGGGAAATYGGCCTGAAAACCTCAAGTCTGAACCTTATATACTTACATCACTTAGAGCTGCATGAGCAAAGATGGTTGCTGGGCTCACAGCTGCTCGGCCTCCAAAGCTTGRCTTTGCTGTTGTCTTCTACTTGTGCTCCTGGTTAATCTAAGTATACCTCTCTGACCTTGAGCTACCTCAGCTTCTGCCAACCTGGGAACTAGGCTGTTTGGATAAGCGCAGAAGCAGAAACTCACCTGCCAGGTGGAGCACATGCCCCTTCCTGATCACTTATTTTCACTTGAGTGGCATTTCAAAGATCACTAATAGTTTTCTCAGTACCTCTTCAGAGAGGAAAGAGCTAGAAGATGAGGCACCAAACTGCTACCAGCAGTGATGTTTGAGCAACAAGCCTGGAGCCGATGTAAAGCGTTTTTCATTACGCTTTACTTWCTTAATTGTCTTAATGGGCATGTGTTACTGCAAAATAAAGTGAAATTGTTTTCCTTATTTGTTGTAATTTACAAAGAGATGGTTTGAATCATATAACCTAGGGACTTTTCAAATCCATTGAGAAAGGGGTTTCTTTTTTAAGTATTCATCTTAAATGATGCKTTCACTAATGAACTCAAAGCATAAAGGGAAAAACCCCCGTGTCCCCAACACCAAGTTTTGCAATAGCTAATAGATGACCACAGCATCCTCAAAGCCATGGAAAAGGCATGTCTTAGGGTGGGGGGTGCTTCTGGAGTTGCAGTTTGCCAAGGAAACTGATTGTGCCACACAAAAGCTCAGGCTGAAGGTGATTTAGTGAACCTGGGAAAACCTAGGCCTGGTTCAGGCTCCTGTGGGTTTCTTCTAAACCCCCAAATGTGGAGGGAGCCCCCAGGCTCTAGGTTACTTTYTCAGTGCACAGTTGAGTTCTGAGCCAAAGCCCCAGGGCCCCAGCAGTGGGTAGTGCCCAGAGGGCAAGGCCAGGTGGGAGCCTTGGGGAAGCCCCGGGGCCTGATGGGACCGGGTCTGCACTCCTAGATGCCACCAGGATTGCAGAGAGCAAGGCTTCATGCCCCGCCCCTATCCCCGCCCACCCGTCTCGAGCCCGAGCCCGCCTCCTCCAGCCCCGCAGCCAGGGGGCGCCGGCGCTGGAGACTATAAATCCCAGCAGTCCTGCAGCCCAGCGTTATCGGGTAGCGGCACCGGGCTCCGCTCCCGTCTCTTGCAGGGCCAGAAAAGGTGTCATGGAAGGGTTCCTATTCGAGCCGGATTACCCCCCGGACCCCGACCACCTGTGGAGGTGGAACATGCTCTTGTTTGTGGACGAGACCTATCGAACCTGGTTGCCCATCATCATCAAGGTACAGCCTCGTGAGTCCTGGGCGGGCCCTGCCTGCAAGTGAGCCTCGGCCCAGCCCCCCGAGTTCCTCGGGCCCAGCCCCCCGAGTTCCTCGGGCCCAGCCCCTCGAGTTCCTCGGGCCCAGAGGAGCCTCTCCTGTCCCGCATGGTGAAGGCACCGCGCATGGTGAAGGCACCGCCAGAAGACTTAGAAGGCTGGTCCGTCCAGGGCGGCCCCAGCTGAAACTTTTTAGAACTGGGCTCTGTAGGATGAAAAAGAGTTCTTCCAGGAGGCTGGGAAAACTGCTAGGGCATGTTGGCCAAGGGTAGGGACCTATTGTCTCGGAGCATGCATGATGTTGAGCAAAAGAGGACTCTTCAGGGCWTCAAGGTCCTAGTTTATATAAAATGGGAATATCTTTAAAGGAAGTGATTAGTGCATGGGTCACTTACCAGAGTCTGCTTAGGTGGGCCCCAGAAATCTGAATTTTAAAAAGCACATTCAGTAGATAGCTATAAACTAGTGTGAGAAGCTGTGCCCTGGACTGCAGGGTTTTTGTACCCCCTGGAAGCTTTGGAACAGATAAACTTAGCAGGCAACAGCAATATCAAACTTTGACTTTGTTTTATGTATGAGCCCTTAAGATTACTCTTTAGTGTTAACAGGTCTTTGTAAGAAATATAACTCTTTTATTTAAAAAAAAAAAAAAGGTACTAACCATCAGAGGTTGGATTTGCTCAAAGAAATAGAAGCAAAAATTGTTGCAACTCCATACATAAACCTTAGAACATGCATGTAATATAGTATACAGGAAAAGGCTATTGAGGGTTGACTATGTCTCTAATTTGCTAATGAGAAACTGAGGCTTAAACATGTAAACCTGTCCAAGGTAGTGCTGCTAGCAGGTAAGATAAGGTTGCAACAGGCTCTTTACTACCACCTAAATTTGCAATTTTATTGTTCTAAGTATAGCTGGGCCCAGTTGCTCCAGAGGCGGAGGYAGGAGCATCAAGAGTTCAAAGCCAGCCTCAGCAAAACCAAGGCGCTAAGCCACTCAGTGAGACCCTGTCTCTAAATAAAATACAAAATGGAGCTGGGGATGTGGCTCAGTGGTCGAGTGCCCCTGAATTTAATCCTGGTACCACCACCCCCAACCCCCCCCAAAATTTCTAAATATACATATAGACCTTTTCCAAAATCAAATTAAATATTTTTTTTTTGTTTTAAGTCAAGTATTTGAAAAAAAATTTAGGCAAATATCTTTTTTTAATCTCTAGTTGGGGAACATCTTCTCACCAAAACCACAAACCAGTTTTTCACAATCACAATAAATGCTACCTGAAAAATAACACAACCTCACACAGTGGGGCAGGATCTGACTCGCGTAAATCCAAGAACCAGTATCTTTAATATGGAAGGATTTTCTTAAATTAATAAAAAGGAGGAATAATACAAAGTGAAAATAGTTAAAGGATATAAAAGACTRTAAACACAAGAATGGTGATTTTCAGGGCACTGACACCTTGCACTGTGATCCAAATATTTTTTTTGACTGATTTATAACAATTTTATAGAACTATTTTCACTTGTGGAGAAATACTGGCTGAACAAATGTGAGTGCCTAGTTTATATGCCAAGTACAGTCCTGGGCTTGAGGATTTGCAGTAAAGGTGACAGAAACCCACCGTATCAAAATAATAAAGCTGGTACTAAGTTGTGCAGGAGAAAAATGGGGCTGAGAGGCTGAGAGTCCCTAGGGTTGGGCTTTGTGGATATTTTTGTCCTTGAGTTGGTGAATGAAGCTGATGTGCAGTTATTGATAAAACCAGCGGGTTTCGTCTCCACTCTGTCACATTGCTTTGTTATATTTTAACAGACATGCATTTGAGTAGAGACCCCTAAAAGAAGGGTGCGAGTCCCGTGTAGCTTTGGGGAGAATGTTCCAAGCAAGGAAGGCAGTAGATGCAGAGGGTTTCTAGAAGCAGGCAGAATGGTGCAGGTCCCAGAAAAGCCAGGAGCCTGTGTGGCCGGAGTGACGTGGAAGGTGGCTAACAGGGCAGAGCAGCAGGGGCCTGGCTGCATGGGCCTTTGGGACTTTCGGAATTGTTCTGCCTGTGCTGGGAAGTGCTGGGCGGAGAGCGGACACAGGCCACGGCAAGTCAGGAGGTTGTCACCACGGTCCAGGCAGGAGACAGTGGTAGGTAGGGAGTGAGGTTGGTCTGTCACCACTGGGGAACTGAGATACTGTGTTTAGAAGAGGAGCTTGGGGGACTGGGGATGTGGCTCAAGTAGTAGCACGCTTGCCTGGCATGCGTGTGGCACTGGGTTCGATCCTCAGCGCCACATAAAAATAAAATAAAGATATTGTGTCCACCTAAAGCTAAAATAAAATTAAAAAAAAAAGAAGAGGAGCTTGGACAAAATGTTTAAAATGAAAGGAAAAAAAATCCCATGATGGCTGAAAGGGCTCCAAGCAGAAGGGCCCCCAGGTCTAGCCTAGCCACTGGCAGCTTGGCAGGAAAAAGTGTGCTTTTACGGCCTGCCTGGCTGGCTAGACTGCTGGCCACCAGAGTCCCTGAGAAGAGCATATGTGGCCGGAGCTGAGTGTTGGGAGCAGTGACCGCCAGCCTCTCATGCTTGGMCCCTGTAAGTCCAGGCCAGGGCTGCTGGGTGTCCTGGAGGAGCTGGTGAGCAGGACCTGAAAGTGTTCCCTACTTTTTCCTCTGCAGATGGAGGGTAGCCTCCAGGTGCTCATGCGCCAGGAAGACTACCCCTTGGAAAGCCCTCTGAGTCCCACTGAGATGACTCCGAGCCTCCTGCCTGTGTTGTATCAGCTGTACCCTGAAAGAAGATACCGAGGCTCAGACTCCAGCCTCTGGCGCATAGTGTACCACATYGAGGCAAGCACAGGTCTCCCCCGGGGACAGAGTGGGGGACCTTGGGCAGCCCTGCTCCCACCCCATGTTGGCCTCTGTGTTCTGTGTTCCCTGTCCAAGCACCAAAGTTAAAATAATGGAGGGGATTAACAACTGTGGGTGGCAACGGGCTGGATCAGAAAGTAGTTACAACTGGAAGACTGGTTGTCCTCTCAGGTCCCCAGGGAGACCCTCTTTGGCCAACAGTCACAGGCCAAGCCTGAAGGGGAAGACCTGGGCCACCCAGGTCCCGCCTGCTGCTCAGGCCACTAGAAAGCCTAGGCAGGGATGGAGGGAGAGTTGGCAGGGCACTGGTCTGATCACTCCTTGTCTCTCCTTTCCTGTGTCCCCACCCTCAGTACAACAAGGTAGAGGACATGCTCCTGGAACAGCTGCCGGCCCCTGAATGACATGGTGAGCATCCTTGAGGGCTTAGTGGACCCCTCCCCACCTATTGCCCAGAGGGTCCCCGGGTTGGGCCAGGCTTCTGGAGGCCCATCCCCCAACCCAGGCTTTCCTTTGCCACCTAGAGAGTCRGAGCCCTCTGGTAAATTTTTGCTTCACACTCATCTGTACAGGGCTGCACAGGTCACAGCTGACACTTTTATAGACATCACTGTATTAAATAGCCTGTGTGACTTGATGGTCCCATCAGCCGAGCTGGGCCTTTTAGACGTCAGAGGTTACACGACCAGTTTGAAGCACTACAGTGACTTCTGGTGGCAGAGCCAGGTTTCAAATCGAGGTCTTCCGACCCAGCCACCCCCACCCCCCTTCATGCTTTGCCTGGTGTCGATGCCAGCCTGAGCCTCTGGGGGCCACCGCAGCCCACGCAGTCCCGGCCACGCCMCCAGCAACCCCCACCCCCCCACAACCTCCGTCCTGCGGTCTGCCCTCCTGGCGCTGAGCTCGTCTTCTCTCCCTTCCCAGGTCCTGCGGTTCCTGCCTCCACTGGCCCCAGGCCTCCAGTGGGGGCTCTCTGTGCTCATGTTCACCTCGTTTGCTAGTCCRTGTGTTCATTGCCACGCGCTGTGGTCCAGGAGGAAGCAGATGGCTGAGGACGAGCCCACCCAGGCTGCTGGACCTGCCTGCAGCCCCCTTGGCTCCCTCAGCCCTCAGCCCTCAGGACTCCGGGATCCCTGTGGGTGGTGCCAGGGAGCCCTGGGTCCCTGTTGCTTCCTCCAGGTGTCCATCGGCACCYGTGTCTCTGGTTTTCTCAGCTGACAGATGATTTTTAGCCTCTCTCTCCCCRTGTCCCTCACAGCAATTTGGAATCCTGCTGGCCAGTGACTGCTGCCCACCAGGTAGCAGGAGGCCAGGTGAGTGGGCACTGCCTTGGCTCTCAGGTTGCCCACCTCCAGAAGGGAGAGAGATTGTTTACCCCCTGACAGGTGCCCTCACACCGGGTATCATGAGGTTTCATGTGGCATGAACACTTTGTAACRTTGCCTGATTAAATGTAAGAAAATTCATCAAACTTGTGCTGTGTCAGCTTCTGTCCTTGACCTGGGGCTAGTGGGGAGAAGGGGGAACAGGCAGTCACCCAAGAAGAATGCCCACTCTTTCTTCTCCTTGCCCATGGACCAAGTTCTGTCCTTTTCTCCTTCCCAGCAGGAGTCCCCCCTGCCTGAAACTGTCCCCTAGCACTCATGCCCAACTGGACTCCCTTCCCCACCTCCATGACCGAAGTCACAGCCTATCCCACCCTGATTCCCAAGATCCGCTGCCCTCCTGCTCTTTCTAAGAGGATGTNACCTCTGCTCGGGGCTCTTGGCCGCTCTCCCTTCTTGAGTGAGCCTGGAGCCCCAGCGCGCTGGATCTGCAATAAACCCCCTTTTGCTGTTGCATGAGTCGGTCTCTTGGTGGTCTCTTCCTCCAACGTTYGCGGGTCCCTTACACCTTCTACCCTTACATTGGGACTGTTCTCAGCCTGGCTTTTGGGTGAGACAGTCGCTGGCCAGCTCTCTTGTGTACACAATATAAACTAACTTTAATTTGGTTTAAAATTGGAGTCTTGTCTTTGCATCATGGGTTCAACAAATCCCACTTGATTACAGTGTATTAGTCTGTGCATGTCGTTGGATTTTTTTGTTGGTATTTTTCAAAGGAGTTTTATATCTATGTTCCTAAGTAGTAGTGTTCTGTAGTTTTCTCTCCTTGGATGTTTTTGTCTGACTTTGGTAGTATGTAGATTTTTCAGATTGCAAATTGTCTTCTATTCACTGTGTTCACTCTATGCCATACCTCTGTCATTTTTACTATTTTCTTTCCATCTCCCCCAGATCTATGAGGTATTTAAGAGAGTGTTTTAAATTTTTTAGGGAGGAGTAGAGCTCAGTGTTGGAGTAGCTGGTGCAAATAGCCACGAGAGACACAGCTCTGAGTTCAAGCAAAGGGTAATTGACAGAGAATATCTGCCAGGCTACCCTTCTGCAAGGCGCAGAGCCTGCTGGGAAAAACTTCTTAACTATATAGTCATGTACAATGGAGTAGTTAAAAAATAATCTGTCTGGTCCTGTGATTGWTATTTGGAGCCTTTGCTGTAATTTGGGTAATTAGGGAGCCTGTGGGGGTGGGCCTAACAGGAAGGTCACACCCGATGGGCAGGTGCTAATTTTCAAAATGGAGTTACATTGGCCTAAGGACCTAACACTCAGTGTGCTCAGCATTGCAAGCCTATCTTGAGTAGCACTATTAATAATTATTCAGAAGTGGATTGTCTTTATTTTATTTTATTTTTATTTATTTTTTTTT